CCAACTGTCACGGTCACCGACATGTTGCACAAGAGGGCGAAACCAAAATCCCACAAAAGGAAGGCCTAAAACCTAAACCTCTAAACCCTAAACTCCTAAACCCTAAAACTGTAAACTCCTACACCCTAAACTCCAAAGCTCCTAAACCCTATAAATCCTAAACTCCTAAACCTTAAACCCCTTGGGTCCAGGGTTGGCCCCGGGAACCAGCCGTCAAGGCCCTCAGAAACGAGAAACTCCCGAGCCCCAACCCCTGGGCTTACGGGTTTTCAGGGTTTTCAGGGTTTTCAGGGTTTTCAGGGTTTTAGGGGTTTTAGGGGTTGTAGAGGTTTTAGGGGTTTTAGGGGTTTTAAGGGTTTTAGGGGTTTTAGGGGTTTTAGGGGTTAGGGGTTTAGGGGGGTTTAGGGTTTAGGGTTTAGGGTTGAGGAGCCGGCTTGCTTCTTCGAAAGCTTGAGCCTAGGGTACGAAGGAGGGTTTAGCGGTGATACCCTAAGCCCTAAAACGGTAATGTATGATGAGGGTTCTTCTGGGTTTTGCGGCCAGGGCTTCTTCATCAGGTTCCATTAGACCCGAAACCAACACAAACATCTGGATGGCGAGAAGCCCTGTAAGACACATATTGGTGAGATAATTGTGTTTGTGTCGTCTTTTGGGCCCCTTAAAAGGTGTCAGGTTTCGAAGTCGTAAGTGTTGAACGATTCGCTCTAAAGCCCAAGGCCTAAGCACGCAAATACGGAAACCATCAACTCTACAGTGACACGCTGAAGAGAATTTGACCCGGATGGCTTAGATCCTAGAAACCATCGGAGAACGCCAACCTTTCGAGCTTTAAGCCCTAATTGCGCTTGCAGGCTTGGAGATGAAGCCAAGCTACAAACTTAAATCCTAAATGCCAAACCCTAAAGCCTAAACCCCTAAACCCCTAAACCCCCAAACGCCTAACCCCGTAAACCCTAAACCCTAAACCCCTAAACCCTGAACCCTAGACCTTGAACCCTGAACCCTAAAGTCTAAACCCTAAACTCCTAAGCCCCTAAACCCTAAACCTCAGGGGCCTTCCCGGCCTTCCTTCGCTCTTTCGGCTCAGGCACGCGATGGCAACCAAAGCGTGCATTCCAGACTGGGCCAAGGCTCGGGGCTGAGGGTTTAGGGTTTATAGGGTTTTAGGGTTTAGGGGTTTAGGGGTTTGGGGTTTAGGATTTTAGGGTTTAGGGTTTAGGGCCCCCCTTCAGAACCCCAAAACGCCAAACCGTAAAGCCCTCAGCCGCTAAAACCCGTAAACCCCAAACATTGAACCCTTGAACCCTTCTCCCAAAGGCTTTCGAGTTTAGGATTGAAGGTTTTGAGCCATTGGCCTCAGGGCTTTAGGTTGTTTTAGTTCAATGTGTGGCGGGTTTGGACGGGGGTTTAGGGTTTAGCAGTGTAGGGGTCTTCCCTTCTTTCCGTCGCATTGATTGCCCTCTTCTGGTTTGTTTATGGGTAGTTCTCTAAATTAGGGTCCCTCTGAGGGTCCTTTTGAAAGGGGTGCCGTATTATATTACTGGGGACCTAAAAAGGGACTCGAGTTTAGAGAACTACTCTTGTGTTGATTGTTTATAGAACCTCTATCGCATTGGTCTCATGAAATGTCTTGCAAGATCGATCAGGCCCTCATAGATCCTTGTTAGCGCCCTCATAGAGCTTTTCCTTCTCGAGACCCTTGATGAACACTGAGGCCTTGACCAAAACCTGATCCCTCAACCCAAAACCCTATAAACCCTAAACCGACCAAAACCTAGATCCCTTAAGCCCTAAACCCTATAAACCCTAAACCGACCAAAACCTAGATCCCTAAACCCTAAACCCCATAAGCCCTGAGCCGACCAAAACCTAGATCCCGTGCTAAGCTCGTCTGAGGCTGGCGGGGAGTGCCGCTATGGCCAAACGCATCATCCTGAGCCCGACCACACCCACGGTTTAGGGTTTAGGGTTTAGGGTTTAGGATCAGGATTTACGAGTTTTGCGTAGGGTTTAAGGTTTAGGGTTTAAAGGCGTTTTCGGGTTTGTCGATTAGGGCTTCGGTGTGTGGGGTTCTCTCGTTATCCGCTTTTCTGAAGTGGCCGGTGTGGGTTTCATGTATTCGTTTTGGTTGTTTCTTGCCTCTTAAATACAGAGAGGCAGGAATGATTGCCAATCTTACTACTTCAGACTTAGGCGTCTGCATCTGCCCATAGTCCGCACCTTCACCCTAAACCCTATAAACCCCCTAAGCCCTAATGACCCTAAACCCTAAACCCCTCGGCTACCCGTTCACCCAGCAGCCCCTCAACCGTCCTAGAGCCTAAATCACCCCCACACGAAGAGCCTCAACCACAAACCCGACGTTGCTGGACCGCAGAAGTTTTTCGCCAGACCCCACGGATCCATGACAAGGACAAGAGCAGGAAACTACGCAACCATAATCTAACATAACTGGTTGCTGCTGTTACACTCCCTTATAGTTGCTGTCTATGCTACTCTACCCCGAAACCCGACATTAAGGTAAGGCCCGCAAGCTGAAGAAACCCTAAAGCCTGGACCCTAAGATAGCCCTAAGCTGAAGAAGCCTCGCCATGTGGGGCCTCCCTGAGCATCCTTTCCTGGTGGCCGGCCGAATACCAAGCTGCCCTGCCTTCACAGGCCCAGGACTCGTCTTGGGGTTGACGGTTTAGGCGCCACTACAAGGGCCTTCCGTACGGGATTTTACAATGAGAGTTATAAGGTTGCTGATGGAGATGTTCAGGGTATGTTTGGGTTCGGATTCAAGTGTGTTCTGGGTTGGGAGCAGGTTTAGGGTAATCCAGGGGCCTGAAGAAGTACGAGTACTACTGTTGATGATATAAATCTGCATTACCTTAAGGACAGTGAACTATGAGAACTATGGTATATATTCATTATCATGGGTAATGCAGGATTATACCATCAACCGTACTGCTTGAGTTCCTTAATCAAGCCTAGAGCCCTCAAAGGAGCCTTAGTCTAACATCTAAGGCCCCAATACTAAGACCCGTACTGTGGAATCAAGGAACCCCCTTAAGCCTAAACCCTAAACCCTAAACCCTAAACCCTAAACCCTAAACCCTAAACCCTAAACTGGAATCAAGGAACCCCCTTAAGGCACCCTATGCCGACCATAGAGACGAGAGCGAGAGAGGGAGGACCCAGCCCCTGGGCGAATTTCAAGGGGTTTTGGGTTTCGCGCTTGGGCGTTTGGGGTTAAGGTTTAGGGTTTTAGGGTTTAGGTTTAGGATTTTTGGTTCGGCTGGATAGAGCTCTCCAAGCTCGGAAGCTTAGATCCCCGAACTCCTAGCGATGCCAACAGCGAAGTCCTTGGACAAGCTTGTATGCCCAAGAACTCGAAACTGCCAAGCCCTAGACCCCCAAACTTCCCCCATTACTACAGCCTGGACAAACTACAACCTAAACCCCAAGCCCCCAAACCTCTTAGTGCCGTACTTGGTCAAAGGCTTAGGTTTTATGGGACAAGGTCCGCGACACTGTGGTAATCCTAAAAAGCTCTAAGCTCTAAATTCAACACCGTCGGCATCGAGTCGCAATTGGGTTTTGTGACGCGCGGTGGGCAGTGCGGCTCAGGGTCTAGGGGTGCAGGTGCAGGGTTGGGGTTACAGTTGCGGTTAGTTTGGGTAAACCTTAAATCTCTGAAGCTTAGCGCCCCAAAGCATGCACCTTAAACCCAGGAGCCCGTACACCTCTCACGCGTTCTTGAACTTGTGAAGTCCGGCATCAAGTTTGTCCCTGAGGAGGCGCGTCGGCCCCGTTGCGCCGTGGGAGATTGGGTGCTGCTGGATTCCATGGGGCCTGGCTCGGCGTAGCTGCTTCGGCGGTGGTTTCTCGGCTTCGACTCTGAGGCATTTGGTTCTGGCTGAGGAGCTAGTGGGATACTTACATAGACAGCCATATGTTTCCGTTATCATGATCGTTGTTGCTATGCTTGTAGTATGACCATGCTGATGACGATGATTATTGTGATGATTATGCCTGTCCCTACAAGTAGATCCTTCTCGTCGTTGTGATTACCATCGTTCGCACTTACTTGTGGTAGCGCATGGTCGTGTTCGTTAACAAGAGCCCAGCTCGACAGCCGGAGCCGCACAGTCCTAGCCTGGGTTCTTGTTAAGGGACTTAATTTAAGTTACCATAATAAGGAAACCCTATTATTTACTATAGATCCCTATTATGGTAACTTTAATTAAGTTCCTTAACAAGAACCTAGTAACAGATTCTGGAGTTTTGGATTTTGGGGTGCAAAGGTGCAGGGTTCCACCAGCCCCCAGCCCCAAGTCTGTTAGCCCGGCCGATCAGAAGTGTCGATTCGGGATCTTGCCAAGAGTAGGCCGTGTTCAAGAGGCTGCCCACTCAGCACTCAGAGCTTGAAACCTTAAGTGGGACTTTCTGAAAATTAGGGTAAAGTTGGTGTACCTTATTTTGGGGTCCTTATAATAAGGAACCTATTATTTAGGGTACTATATTAGGGTCCCCTATTTTTGGAAACCCCCAAGTGATACGTGGAGTTTCAGAGGGGCGGAGGGATATCTAGCGTGGAAGGCCGGGCGGGTCTAGAAAAGGACACCTCTGACTTGGTACAGCTTGTTACTAATCCACTAAATTGACGGAAGCTCTACAGGACTCCAAGCCCTAAGCCGTGAACGTTCTAAGGGTTTAGGGTTTAGGGTTCTATATCCACCACGAGGTGGCGGGATCCCTACTACAGGGAAGGCAATCTCCGCGTTGTAACACGGAGGGGTGAACAACGGGAAAATCTGCTCTTTCTGAACCTGTACCATACTGCAATATTCAACCCTATCCAGCAAGCCTGCACGAAACCCCAATGAAACCCAAAGACCTAAAGCCTAAAGCAGTGTAGAAATCGAAGCCGTAAAGGTGCCGATGTGGTTTCGGGTGCCCCAGAGCAGCTAAGGGTTTAAGGGTTTAGGGTTTAGGGTTTAGGGTTTAGGGCTAAGGCGCAAGTGCGCAGATCGAGTTCCGAAGTTGCTCCATGCAGTTTGCCGCGAACATCTTCTGCTGACTTGCTTGTGGATGCAGACACTGGGCTTTCGTTGGGGTTTAGGGTTAGGGTTTAGGGTTCAGGGCTTGATTTCCTGATAGTGGTTACTGATGTGTAGGGCTCATGATTTCCTGTTAGTCGTTGCTGAACAAGCTAATTCCTTGCTTGGCAACAAGAACCCAGGACAGCGCCAGCATTGAGCAAATCCAGGAGGCGATCGAGAATCTCCAGGAGGAAGGATACAGGGTGCGAGCGAGAGTTTTTGCAGCCCCTGGCTGGGATCTGGGGAGAAGGTGGGCTCCCCTTTTTGAGAGGAAGGAGGTGCTGTTCCAACCGGTGAGTCGGAGTCCTCGGAATCGTGGGGAGGCCAATGATGAGGCCATTGTCAGTGCTTGTAGGAGGCTGGCTGCATCCAGGAGGAACAGGTGCATTGTTTTACTAACATCAGACTGCGGATTCTTGGATGTCCTGCGAGACATTGCGCAAGAAGGAGCCTCTGTTTGCCTGTGCACCTCGACAAGAAATGTAGCAGTCATAAAGCAATATCGAGGTTGCGGTGTTCGCGTCATCGAGTTGGTAAGCCGAACGAGCAATTTTAGCAAAGTCAGAGCTGTTCTCCATGCAAATGGAGGTGGGCATGTCGAGCTCGCGAAGCCATTTAAATATGACGGCAGTGAAGATAGAGAGCTGTGTAGCAACTTCTTGCATGACCTGGGATACATGACTGAAAGTGACACCCTGACGCAGAGCACAGCAAAGTTCTGGTTCGCAAACTCATTGGGGTCGATCGTCATATTCCCACAGCAGTTCGCCACACAGAAAGTTTGTCGCCTGGTTTCATGCCGGAGACCATGGCAGAAGTACCGGGGCGACCTGGTACTGTTGCTTCCGTTGGCTTCTGCAGGAAATTTGTCAAAGAAGCAACAGAGCATCTATGGGACCTCTCTCGGCAGGCAGTTGTATAAGGGTGGTGGCCCCGTGATGCTCAAAGATTCCAAAGATCTCGTCCGACGTGCATTTACAAGGCTGGGGTATGTAGACGGCGACCTTAACACGGATATGGAGGAAGCAGCTTTGGTTTTTGTCAATGCACCTCACAACAGCTACGTGCTCCGCAAGGATCTGGACTTGTTGCCGACTGAAGAGGACAGTTTCTCACACACCATTGACAAACTACGTTGTGCTTTCCGGTCGAATTCCTCCAATGCTCGCTGGAAAGTTGCGCCGAGCGACAGCGCGATCCGGCGGCTCCTCTGCAAGCATGGGCTTCTTTCCAATGTTCACGCCGCGGCCGCGGACGTACTGGCTGCAATGACCGAGTACAGCTTGCAGCACGGCTTACCCACAATGAGAAGCTATAATGGTCATGTTTTTCGCATACTGCGGTCTCTTGACTCCACCCCCACCTCCACCAGCTTGATTGAAATCAGCAGCTAGCTGCGAATGCACACTTCATGATTTAAGTTGATTGCAGATAGATGCAGGATTCTTGCAAACGGTGAGAGAGATGGGAGTTTGAGAAAACAGGGCACGCTAAACCCTAAACCCTCATAAACCCTCATAAACCCTCAAAAGAAGCCCAGCAGAGCCAACTCCCCGGTTTTTTAAGCCAGACATCTCTTTGGGGGGACCTGCTTCCTGGAACGCTCAAGTCCTAAGCCCTAAGCGCCAAGATCGAAGCCTTGAAATCCTAAACCCTTAAACCCTAAACCCTAAACATGCTAAGCCCATAGCCCCAGTCCTAAATCTTTTACGAAGGGGGAACTTCGAAAGTAGAAGTGGCCGATTGTGGTCTTGTTCGCTAGGGCCTAGGCAAAAACCTCTCAGGTGCCTTGAAGGAGGGTTCTCATCAGGGGGCAATGAATAAAGGGACCTTGTAGTGTTACGTAAGGTTTTGTGGGGCGTTTTGAAAGGCTTCAGAGGGTTTGCCACAGGGCCTCGATGCTTCAACACCCCCCAAAATCCGGAGATCCCAATAGCTGTAAGGCCCCACCGCCTGTCTTATCCGCCAGCCCTGAGACCTCGACGCCTAAGTTTTAGTCTCCTGAGTCCAAGCTACAGCAGACCTCGACCCTGATCCCCAAATCCCAAACTCTAAACCCCAGGGTTAAGGTTGAGGGTTTAGGGTTTAAGGCCCAACTTAGAGTAGACTTTCTGGGTCTGAAGCAGTATCTTCAAAAGCACCCAGGCTACCCCGCTCGCTTGAAGGCAGCGCCTACGTGCTTTGCACGTATGTTTTCCATGTATCATGAGAGCATCGGTGGCGCATGGCGGTCATAAACAAACCCCAGGGCCAAGCTAGAAATCCAAGGTTAGAAGTATGGGCCCCTAGTATGGGCCCTTAGGGGGGTTCTAGGGTCCCTGAAGGGTACATATAGGGTATATAGTAGGTACATAATAAGGGTCCCAGGGTTAAGGGCCCTTATTAAAAGCCCAAGCCCGAGACCGTAGAAGAAAAGACCTCGCTTGCAAAGGTCTGGCTTCCTTCTGGGCACCTGGACATGGCCCAACGAAGGTAGGGGCTTTGGGTTTCGGGGTTTAGGGTTTAGGGTTTAGGGTTCAGGGTTCAGGGTTTAGGGTTTAGGGTTTAGGGTGACGAAGCCTCCAGTGACCAACCAGCTGGATTCTTTTAGGTTTTATAGAGTATGGTAAAGGGATCTTATGGTGTTTAAATGGGGTTGGTAGCCCCCGGAGTGGAATTCTATCGGAAAACGAATGCCATTATGTTCCAGGGCCCACCGTTAACTTCTGCGCCTCAACTTCCCTTTTGGGGGCTCTGGGCCCCGGGTTTAGGTTGAGGGTTTATAGATTACTATGAAAGGCCACTCAGCGGATGATGGGACTTAGTGCATAGGCCTGAGCTTTTCAATTTCCCAGGTCAGTTCTACAACCTAAGGCATAGTTCTTAAGTATCCGAGGGGGTATCGGGCTCTTCGGGGTTGGTGGTGGGAGCTCTCGGGTTTAGGCTTTAGCAGCTCTGGGTTGCAGAGATTTGAGGTTCTCGGGTTTAGGGCTTCGATTGAAGGCTGTGGTGCTTTAGGGCTTAGATTGGAGACGCCACTCTGTTTTCTAAGCCCAGACACTTCACAGTCAAAAGCAACGATCTGCAACTCAAAGCGTTAGCACCGGTTTCGGGTTTGGGGCTGAGGGTTTTGAAACCTGTAGGTCTTGAAACCCCGAAAGCCCAGAAGACGAAGCCTCCGGCCCCAAGTTAGAGGAGTCCTACGCTTTGGGCTGCTTAACTCTCAGAGGCTTTTGTCACAAAAGGTTTAGGGCTTAGGGCTTATAGGAGTCTTAGAGGTCCCTGAGTCCCGCAAGTGTCTCTGGCTGAAGGATATGGAGACTCCAAAGCCCCTTAACAAAGCCCGAGGTCTTAAACTTAAAAGCTGTACAGGACTTTATATATGGTTTAGAAGTCCTGAATTATGGCTTAGGGTAGATTCCTGAACGAGCGGTCTCCTAGCACAAGCCGCCCCCGTGCCGCAAGGCGTGACAGCTGTCCACTACGCGGCCGAGCTGCACTTTCCCTAAACCCTAAACCCTAAATCCTGAACCCTGATCCCTAAAACCCAAACCCTAAACCCTCAAGAAAGAAATAGATTTAAAGTGCTTGTTGCTGTTGGCCAATCCAAGCAGTCAGTTCAGCCCGCCTCAGCACAGCCACCGCAGGCCAGTTTAGGGAAGGGACGGGCAGCGAAGTAGAACGGCTTTCAAATTGGCATCCGGGTCGGAACACAACTTCTCCAATTTCTATAAACAATTGCCGTTTCTAATCAAGTCACCACCCAAACCCTCCCGCGATACCCCAGCACCCCGCCAGCCAGCAGCCCAATCCAGCCCAGCCCAGCCCAGCCCAGGCCAGCGCCCCAAAGCCAACCCGCCTCCCAGCCGCGCCCCGCCCCCCCCCAGCCCTTCCCAGCCCTTCCCAGCCCTTCCCAGCCCCCCAATCAGGTTGCAAAAGAAAAACTCGGTCAAAACGTTCCGGTCCAAACCCTGAAGAATTTCTATAAACCCCAAACCCCAAACCTAAACCTATTGGGTTTAGAGATCTCAAAACCGTCAGGGCAATGACCCCCAAACTTCAAAGAATCCCCTAAACCCTGACCCTAGACCTTAAGCCTCAAAGAGTCCCCGAATAGAAGGCATGGCCTAAACCTTAAGTGTTTAGGGTTTAGGGTTTAGGGTTTAGGGTTTAGGGTTTAGGGTTTAGGGTTAAGCTCTAGGTGACGATCAGAAACGAACCCATTCCCTCAGCCTTTTCTCCGAGGTGGCCGCATTCTACTCCCTCATGCCATGCTTGTTCCGCACTCGGCATCTCTTTGAGGGTTTAAGGTTCAGGGTTCAGGGTTTAGGATTTAGGGTTCAGGGTTTAGGGTTAGCGGTTCAGGCTCATGTGTTGAAGGTTTCGGTTCCGGGTTTTGGTTGAGAGGTTCAGGGTTTCAGGCCCATTGTTGCTCCAATGATTGTTGTTGTTGCTGCTAGCGACTGCTGGTGTTTTTGTTTTGGATACTAAACCCTAAACCCTAAGCCCTAAACCCTAAACCCTAAACCCTAAACCCTAAACCCTAAACCCTAAACCCTAACCCTAAACCCTAAGCCCTCAACCCTAAGCTGTTTGCTGCGATGGTTATGGTCGTCGTAACTTCTACAGTCCCCGTACGATGCCATGCAACCAGCTCCCAAAGACCCCTGTGATATAGGGGGCTCTAGGAATTACCTATGCTATTTTTTGGGGGATACCTTATTATACTTCTTCTGATTATTATTTTTTATTATTAGTATTCTTCTCCTTTCATTATTGTTATTCTTATTCTTATTCTTATTCTTATTCTTATTCTTATTCTTATTCTTATTTTTATTCTTATTCTTATTCTTATTCTTATCATTATTATTCGTATATAAGTATAAGTATAGTATGAAATACCCCGAAACCCGGTTGAAACTACTCAGGCCCCTACATTACATGGGGAATCCCAGAAACCCTGCCCCAAGATCCTTGATGCGCCTTCCCAAATCTTGGGCCTGTTTCCGTTCCAAGGCTACTAGGCTTCATTGCCCTCGCGTTTCTCTGGACTGTCGGGAGCAGGGTCTCGGGTTTAGTCAGAAGAGAGGCCGAAAGCAATACTTCGATGTTGTATTCGTGTTTGCACACGTTAGTCCGCAGATGCTTTGTCGTGTAGGACCAACATTTTTGCTAAGTGAAAGGAACAGAGACTGGAATAGACGCCAATACTGTCGAACAAACATTCCTAAAAGGATGGATTATGTGGGTGTTAATCGGGGTAGCATACATATACATATACATAGACATATACATATACATATACATATACATATACATATATAGTCATGACATTGCCAAAAGCCCAGCAGCCTTATATTATCAGTCTTGAGAGGTTTTTGGGTAAGGTTGCCGACGTTTGTGAGGTTGATAGAGCTTCAAGCGGCTGTAGGTTCGGGGTTTAGGGTTTAGGGTTTAGTGGGGGTAGGGTTTGGACTTTAGGTTTTGGACTGTAAGCAAGGTTTGCGGCTTCGTGCAACCGTAAGCAGCTCATCCTCACAGCCCAAGCGTTCCAGGCAGTGGTCTAGACGCTACAGCCGCATAACGTTCCTGGACTTACCCCTGGCAGGTTGTTGTGTTTAGAATCCTGTCGGCAGGTTGTTGTGTTTTGAATCCTGTCGGCGTAAATCCCTAAGCCGAGTCCCGCGAATCCGATAAACAAAATCTTGGAAATCATTTAAGCTGCCCCGCCGGCCCATGCCGCGCCATCTTTGATCCATGCCCTACTGGTTCCTAAACCCGAACCAGTTGTGGTGTCTTGGGGTGGCTTTATGCGGGTTTTCCAGAAGGTTCTGTGAGGGTGGGGACACTTCGAATAAACACTAATCTAGGGGCCTAACTAATTACCAATACCATTCTTAGGGTTCCTTAGTATAACTATAGTAGGATCTACCCCAAAACCTTATTCTAAAATTTCAGGCCCCCATATTAGCCAGGACGGACCCCCCAGCGTAAAGCCAAAAAAAGACGACTCCTATACCGTGTGGGTTCTGTTGGCGTCCTGCGCCAACTTTGTGCACCCTATAACCCCGATATGTGAGCTTCTATTCCCGCTACCAGTCCCCATTTAATTATCTTGGTGATGTATATATAATGAACTCCAAAACCCTATTCTGATAGCTAAGGCCCCTACATGAACCCCTGTCACCAACCCTACTGACCAAGTCAACAGAGCGTCCGCGTCCGAAGTACTTTCAGGACCCGTGGGCTGCGAGAAATCTTGGCGTTCATCTATCAATTTCTCTGCGTGTGGGTGGCTCGTCTGCAGTTCTCAAAGGCTTGGGTGTTCGGGGTTTTGGCTGTCGTACCCTAGACCTCAACTCACAAGCCCAAACTCTAAATTCTAAATCCCGCAAAGCCCAAAACCCCCCAAACC